GATCTCTTTATTTAATAATGATATTTGAAAGTAAAAACAAGGCAAAAAGTTAAATTGATATCAAATATTTTAGTTTAAAATTGAAATGAAGAGCGCCCTTACTTGCATAATACCTTGTAAGTTTATTACAAAATATCTTAAACACATAGATAAACAAGATATTCCAGATTCCATATTCAATTAACATTTCAAGTTCATATGTATGCATTGTGAAAGCGTCTGCATGCAAACTCCAGTGCACAATTGTTACCATAATGAAAGAGGTTTTGTATTTCTTTCTTTCCATTTAATGTATCACAGAAAACGATGGCTTCGACTAGAGGATGAAATTCGGCAATTAAAGAATGTGTAGTAAAGGTGCATATTAACGCATATTAACATTTGTACAGAATACTCTGTCTTTTTTTAACTTCGGTCCATCTATAAAAAATGATTTGATATTTTATATAAAGATGCAACTTCTGTTGTTAATCAATATGGTTTTTTACCAAATTTTGTAAAAATAGGTATAGGCTGCCAACAAGGAGATCTGGCAACAAATTTTGTATGATGCTTATGGTATTATTCTATAAATCAAGATTTAATAAATTACAATGTCTATTAAAGCGTTTTATACATTTAAAAGTTATATAATATGATACTATCTTGTTATTTAATTCAACATAAGACGTTTTAACAATATTAGCAATGTTTGAAATAGACCCATTTTTTTATATTTTATTTAATCTTGATTTATAGACTAATACCATAAGTTTCTAGGCTTTTAACTAAATACTGCAAAATATATTCTTTGAAAAAATCGTTTCGTCGAGTTTTATTTTCTATTTTATAATGATCATCATATTAATAATAAATATAAACAGAATCAACCATGGACTTCGACATACAAAAAACGCAGCCCACGATACAAACTTATCATCAATTTATCATTCATTTTATTTTCATGCATTAAAAGTATTAACATTAAATCCAGTATTAAGCAGCAGCCACAATAATTACATGTACATAGTTCATTCAATAATTCAATTAATCATGAAAAATGATTCAGAGATTTTAAGGTTCTTTTGTTGAATAAATCGAGTTGCTGTATTCACTGATTCATGATTCACATTTGTCAATATAAAAGACCCAAATCGGTTTTGTCCACTGTTGTATAATACGCAGACAATGTCTTATACACACGCATAATAAATTACCCTCGGATTAATTTTAAAATAGAAATATATCTTAAGTAGATAACTTACAATAGAGAAAGTCTGGCGAGAAGTATAATCTAATTTTCTCAGTACATCTACCGTTTTATCACCTCTGTGTGAAATAATGGTTCTTAGAATAACTGCTGTAGACATAGGTTTCCAGTCCCATTTAACTGCTGCTTGGTGTCATTGCCACGCATCTGTGGCTTTTCACCATTGGTGTGAAAGGTCGGACAAAGTAGACTTTAACTTAACTTTGTTTTGTTAGATAAAATCAATATTAAAGGGACTCCACTGAGGTTTTTTGACATGATTGGACTGAAAATATTTCTTCTAGATAAATGTAACATTTGATGTAGGTTTAGACCACTAATTTTTGTGCAAAATTTCAGATCGTTCGCACACTTCGTTTTTCCAGAATAATTATTCAAATTGTAAAAAAATGACCCAAAATGAAAAGCGTTTAAACACTTTTCACTTAAATCGGGTTAAGAAAGGCATAAAAATGCTATTTTCAATTTATTTCAAAGAATATTTCTTAACTATCTTTGCATATATTTTTGTTTAAAGTACCCCAGCTCATTTATGTAAAAAATTCAAAAGTTATGTTTTTAGGCTTTTAAACCTCAGTTGAGTTCCTTTAAGAGAAAATGTCAAAGTTTAATCTTTCATACACACGTTACCACGCATATATAAGTTATATATCCTAATGTATGGTCTAATTGCATTTTTGTTTCTACTTTAAGTTCTTTTATTTACCAAAGTCCAATTTTCCTGCTGTTTGTTAGCATTTAACACATCTGTTGTATTTTTTTTTACCTTGGCGTGAAAGGTCGGACGAAGATTTTGAATTGTCATTATGCCCATCCAAACGCACAAAGCAAAGTCAAAATAACTTAAGATTTGCCATTTTTTTTTCAAATTTATTGTTTAATTCATGTGTATAATCACACGTGAACCACAAAGAAAAACTGTAAATATCTTTCGGATTGTACCTTTTATGAGAGTGGGGCTGCCTTTTTAAATTTTAGGTAGTTATTATAATATATTCTTAACATTTTTAACTTTTTCAGTGTAAAACAATTCAACTGAACTCGACATAACATTAACTTAGAGTAACTAGATAAAATCAATATATAACGAGGAAAATTTCAAAGTTTAATAGTTTCGCAAGTGTCATTTACACATCCGTTACAAAGCATATATAAATTGAATTTATCTTAAAGGATCTGTCTACAAGATGTTCTTTAATCTGTAAGTATTTTCACATATAATTACGTAAAATAATAGATTTGATGTAGTCGCATTTAAACACACAAGATATTACATGTATAATGTCTTATTTAATATGTAATTTTTATCATTATTTTTAAAGAATGTAATGTGCTGCTCTCCTTTGATGGAGGTAATAAAGAATCTATCTGTATATTCTTTCGCGTAACAGATAAAGATTTTATCGTTTTCATCGACTTAACGCCATGCTATTTTCGTAGTAATGAATCATCTATTCAAACAATTAGAGGATGCTAAGATACCAGCAAACAAGTGAGCCACTTCTGTTTACAATAAAAGTCACAATAGATGCTAATGGCTTATACAAAGAAAGGTATCGTAAAAACTTTATAACAGTGAAATTATCACTTAAGCAACAGAGACTCTTTATATTTCTTTTTGTGTTTTTATGCTCATTACGCCTTGGTTATATCCTGGCGGTCGGTCCACCTAACCGGTAATCCTCGCATGATAACTAACCAGTAATAACCAATTTCTCCGCAAGTGCCTGACTTCTTTTATTTACTTATCACACATAATTTCTAAATCACTGTTTAGAGACATTGACAGTTAGATTCAGTGTACTTAATGTATGACATCAATTGTTAGAGACATTGACAGTTAGATTCAGTGTACTTAATGTACGACATCAATTGTTAGAGACATTGACAGTTAGATTCAGTGTACTTATTGTACGACATCAATTGTTAGAGACATTGACAGTTAGATTCAGTGTTCATAATGTACGACATCAATTGTCACAGAGAAATTTCGCCTCGTCCCTGGATCGAACCAGTGACCTCTCGATTGCTAATCCAATGATCTCCCTGTTGAGCTACGCTGGCGGGTATGACAGGAGATGTAAACATACATAATGTAAATGAAACACCTTGTGTTCAGTATACTTTGATCATCGCCAATAGATAAGCGCCATTCCACTATTGAACATTACTTTATGAAAGAAGTGTTTGATAATATAATTTTCGTATACTTGTGGAGAAACATTTAAGTGCTCAGCTGCTGTTTTGATTAGTAAAAGAAAGAGCTAAATTTCCTCAGGGAATATTGTTGTGTTATTTAGATAATTTCCTGCTCATTTGCAATGGTAAGATACCTCCTCAGCTGATTTTACAGAGCACGAATTTAATATTGACTAAGGAAAATACTAACCGGGAGATTCAAACGTTTATAGTTTTTTTGTTGTTGTTTTTTTTTTTCTTAATTTATTGACTTCGTTAACAAACATGAACTAATCGTTCGATAAGAATACAGCTTACAAACAAAAGTAAAGAAAATGAAAAATACTAATTTTACTAATTTATTTATAATTATTAAATACGTGTTTTCCAAATTAAATTTTACTTTACCTCAATACGATGAAATTCGTTTTATTTAGTTTTCTATTGCATATATGCACATATAACATATAACATGATGTATACTTTAAATTAGAATTAAAATAAATTCAAAACGAAAATATGTAATTGAATAAAATATTATGTTTTGAAAAATAAGATTCGGACAAATCTTTCATTTTACAATTTACTTAATGTTAACAATGTTAGTTTTTTGTTTTCTTAAAAGATATTAGAAGAGATTCAGAAGTTGTAATGATAAAAATAGAAAAAATGTAACAGTAATAGCGAGGAAAGTGTCAGATCACATAAAATAGTCTCTTAAAGTGACAGCATTGGTTTATTGATTAACACCAGATTACTTTCAATTAAAGAAAAATATTCCTAGTTCATTCCTTCATTTACGATCGTCAGAGAGATATATAACCCTTTTCTTATAATATTAACCATAAATAATTTTAATCCTTAAAATTGTTCGAACTCTACAGAGAATTTTGTTTTGATTGATTAAAAGTTGATTAACTTGAACAAATTCATCATAAATTTCTCAAAAAATCTGTCTAAGAAACAAACGTGAATAAACGTCTTCAATAACCTACAAAAACTTATACCTGACATAGTGAAAATGATATTCAAATTATTTCTGTGTTCGCCACAAATAATTCGTGCAGATTGCAGTTTTTGCGAGGGGTTGCGTTCATTGAACGCCCCTTTCCTTGTTGATCTTGATGATCATTGTTTAATTCTATAAATTTACCAAATTCTGCATATTTATTTCATGCATTTGGGAGAAGCAGATAATGGTATATTTTATAATTTTCCGCTGTTCAGCAGTTCAATATACATGTATTTAAAAAAACAAACTTTTTTTAAAAATTGCATAGTGTATTATAGTGCTATGTTATGACACGTTATTTTCTATTTAGAAGTGTATGTTAAAGAATGTTAAAGCTTTAAAATTTATTCTTTTTGTAACATCCTCAGAAGCTCCTCTTTATGTAAATTTGCACACGAATAACTTGTTAAACTTCTGATAGGTTTTTATTTTTTTATTTTTTATTTTACAAGAAATATGTTCTATACATGTTTAGATCTAGTCAAGTATTAAGTTGCATCATCTTTCATGTTAATTTCGATCATCAAGTTATGAAATGTTTCATAGAAGCACAAAAAAGTGTATCAGTAAGTAAAATATGTTAATAAAAGGTTTAGGAATTGATCACCAGGAACTACTTACGAATTATATGTACTAGATCTATATAATTAAGTATGTGCACTGGTCGATACAATATTACTAAACTAAGTAGCATCACGGCCGTGTAGCTAAAGCGTCGGAAAAGTAATCTAATGACCGCTAGTCACACGGGCTCAAACCCTGCCAGGGGCAAGACGTTGTTTCTTGAGCAAGAAACTTTACACTCATTACTCACTACAGGTTGGTTCCAGGAACGGATGCGAAAGTGCGTCTATAAGTTTTTTACACAATCGATCTAAAATAAATTCTGTATAAACCAAAAACAATATTATTTGTTTATTATGTCTGTGTAAAAGGGACTCCACTGAGGTTTTTTGACATGATGGGACTGAAAATATTTTTTTCCAGATAAATGTACCATTTGATGTAGGTTTAGACCACTAATCTTTGTGCAAAATTTCAGATCACTCGCGCACTTCGTTTATCCAGAATAATTATTCAAATTGTAAAAAAAACGACCAAAAATGAAAAGCGTTTAAACGCTTTTCACTCAAATCGGGCTAAGAAAAGCATAAAAATACGATTTTTGATTTATTTTTAAGTATATTTCTTAACTATCTTTGCATATATGTCTGTTTTAAGTGCCCAAGCTCATTTATGTAAGAAATCCAAATGTTATGTTTTTAAATCTCAGTGGAGTCCCTTTAAGAAGTCATTTACAGTGTTACAATTGTATTATAATAATCACCATCATTTTATATTTTATAAACAATCTCTGTCATAGAAATCAATTTCTTCAGTGTCGAATACTATGAAATCAGGCAAAGCATCTTGTACCATTCGCTTTGAAAGAGAGCTTCTCCTGCATTTGTCTGTACCATTAATAAATTCAAACGACATGCAGTCTGTATCATCTATACATAGTGTTTGACAATCAGCCAAAGTTTCTGGTGAAGTACCGCGGTCATTGAAGCCTGACACACGCATTCCCTTGGTAAGCGAGAAAGAGTTGGTCAGTGTTGTACAAACTGCAGATGGAACAAACATAATATTGTATAATGATTGGTAATTATTAATGTAAATGTATAAGTTATAACTAGTTTCTATTTTGTATCATTTTTTCTTTCGAAATGTACGCATTCAGTAAAATACCAGGACCGTCTTGTATTGGGGATCAAACGAATTAATGATATACAAGCTATTTAGGGAACAGTAATATTTTGTTTATTCAACATTGACAATAATTTTCCATGTCAATCGCATTAATAGTTAGAACTTTAGTAAATAACATAAAATTTTTCACAGGGTGGTCACATTTTTAAAAGAAAATGTTAATTAAATACCTTTCACACAGTCTTTGGAATCTGGGTCATATCGGAAGAATCGGTTACAAAAACAGTAACCCTGGTTACATATTGCCTCGGACTCATTACAGTCAGAGTTACTTGTGCACGCTGTTCCGATTGTTGTCGCTACAATTTATATATTGTACATATTTATAAAATATCATTGTAGTAGGTATCCAAATTGACAAAATTCATGCAAATGATATATTTGCAGCAACAAACGCAATAAAGAGGCATTTAAAGTAAGAACACTAGCTACTGAATGAAACGTAAGAACAAATCAAACGATAATTTGTTACATAATCAGCAACATGTAGCGTATATTGTATAAAAAAACAACATTGAATGCTTTCCTTCAAATATCTCTAATAATGAAAGTTAAACGGTAAACGGAGGCTTTGCAATGATTTTGATGAGCAAATGAAGAAGTTTGAATATTTGATAATAAAACTGAGTTAATATCAAGCAAATAATATTAAGCTTATTGATTGATGTGTGTAACATTGAATGTCACTTTACTTGACAAACTAAACAAACCCATGCAGGTAGCTTCTGGTACTGACCACTCCCCATTTAGGAGGCACGTTATGCTCGTGTCACCACTGTGAAACATGTTATCGGGGCACGTTAACACGTATGAACTGTTAGTCCCAGCAATGATCGTGGTGCCAGATTGATCATCTCCGCTAACATACCGTGCTTGATCGCATGCTGAAGAAAGAAGAAAACAAATTAAATTTGCAAATGTTTGAATGGGTTATTTTTTCTTATACAAAAAGAACCCAACTTTACAAATAATCATTTAATAGTAACAGCATGTATAGTACACATTAAAAGCAAAACAATTTGATTAAATGAAGTTATCGAGGTAAGATTGACTTCATAAGATATTATTACTGTCTTCAATACCATTATAATGGAAGACAAAAGAATATAAAACTTTGGACACGGATAAATGTTTTGAAATGGTTCCTGTACAAATATGTAATCCAGAGTATTTGATCCAAAATTAGAACATTATTCTAAAACAAAGTACTTAGATTTGCTTGTTTTGACAAATAACTTACTGATATTGACGCATTTATACGCGCCATTACCTAGAGGTGAGCATCGTTGTTTTTTGTCACACTGGTGGTGTTTACATCCGCTCACCATCGACTGAAGCATAAAATAAACATTTAAGTATTGTCAAATTTGAAAAATTATATCAGTATGAGCAACATGTCAATATTTTTCTTGTTCTTTAAATATCAAATTCTTTACAAATAGTATGACATAACCAAAAACAATGAAAACTATTATAGCAGACAAGATTGCTTTCAAGCCAATTGTAAAAGAATGAGATATAGATCTAGGTCAAATATTTCATAAGCAAATGCTTAGTATATAATGCATAGCTGACGTCAAACTTATAGAAATCAAATATCAAGCGTTATAAGCGATTAGACAGTATAATCTGAAAACTGAATTGCTGACGTAAATACAAATAGATACAGAAATGTGAAATAAATTTGATAATCAATTATATAAGATCTAAGAGTTTTTTTAAATATCCTTTGTACTACTGTTGTTTTATAATTTTTATTGCCTTTAATTTTTGATTCTCTCTTGTTATTTTTTTTTCACACAACACATTAATTCTTTTGAAAAGAGAGTCACGAAGTAAAAAGTAACAGAAAATATTCACGTTACTTACTTTAATAATGATAAATCATACCTATGTACTTTATTATGTAAATGAATAGATTACAAATACAAGTATTGTTAAAACTAAATCACTATCAGATCTAATTTATTCTTTAGTCATACATATGGTAATAAAACTTGAAACTTGGTAATAATATGTTTAACACAAGTTGTTAATTTTTCTGTATAATGCATTTTATTTTTATATCCGTGTAATTACTGAACTAGTTATCTACATTGCACTTTAAAGGCACATTAAGCATCAGTTCCTTTATGTTTTATAATGATATGATAATAGATTAAGAACATGTCTAGCGTTAAAGGGATACTCAGGCAAATAAATGTCAAAAATATTAAAATGATCTAATGTACTCAAATCACGCTAAAATAACATTTTTTAAAGTCCCAGCATAAATTTCTATATAAATTCTATATATGTTGTTAGGTTTGAAGCGTAAATATATCTAGGTGTAATGAACGAAATTTAGACGCCGACAGAATCACCGAGTTGTTGTTTTAAAACATGCCATGTGATGTGAACAAACCCTGGAAGTTACAATATCAGATGTTGTGGATATTGTATGATTGAAACAATTAAGTCTAATTTACTCATTTGATATCTTCTATAACGAGTTCATTGGGCAACTATTGTGAAATTTTAACGCTCTAACCTGACCCACGTGGGTGAAAAAAATCAAAACGAAGAAATGAGAATTTGCCTGTGTTTTCCATTAGTGTAAAATAATTTGTGATAAAGGTAGCAAAACGTACCATGAGTATCTTTTTTAAACACTACAACACTAGAAATAAAAAGGTTTTGAAAAATAAAAAATGATATAACTTTTGAGGCTTAATTGGCCTTTAAATATATCATGATTTTTATATTTCAAAAACTATTTCTAAATTTTGGTAGCAATTTAACAATTATTTTTTGTTTATTTTTCTGACTAGGTTTTAACGCGTGTCCGATTCATGATTAATTTCTTTACTGTGTTATATTAGGAATATTAGGAATTCACTTGATTCGAGTCATTTCATGTCACTGTATATCGTTATTAAAGTAGAAAATGATGCTATGAGATATGTTTGTTGCAGCATTATCAGGTTTTAACACGCAGTGCTGTTATATTTTAAACTTTTAGAAAAGACATTACCTGAGGCCAGTCTGATATATCAGAGAAAATTGTTCCTTTTACTTCGTAGAAATCTGATGGATTAACTGTTCCACTTCCAGATGAGTTTAAATCACATGTTTTGCTCCTCGTATTAAAATTAATAGAAACACAAGCTCTAATATACATGCATTCTTTGGCACATTCGTGATGTGACAATACCTTCATGTCAAACAGCTTATAACCAAGCAGTTGCTTGTTCAGATTTTCAGCCTTTATATGAAAAGGCTGACAAGATTGTAAACAAGTACCCTTCGTAAAGAATAGACAGAAACTCCACAAAAAGAGCGGTGTAATCAGCGCCATATTTGTAACCATGTCATCTCTTTGAGCAGTCTAAAATAACGATTTAAATTACGTTATAAACAGTCAAACGTGTTTTAACAAGAAGGTTGGTGAAACTAGGGCTTGAACGTGGATCTTTGTAGGTAGATCGTTGTCTCTCTAAACCAATTACGCTATAAAAAATACTGTTTCGACTGGAAAATAAAGTTTATAATACCTCATATTATTCGATTCAGTAAAAGTTTATTGTTGTTACATTTTGTTATCATTTCTTATCTTTTTATATATATTTAACATGAAAATATTCGAAACAGAAAACTTATGATTTGAAATAAATGTTTATCGTGCCTCCAAATATCAATGCTAAGAAATGCTGAATGAAAATATGTGACTGGTCAATGGTACTTTCATAAATATTTAGACAAACTCTATGTACACCGACTAATAAGCGCGGCACCTAAATATCAAAGTCATGTTAATATTTCTATTAGGATCTCCACTGAGCAGATATAAAAAAAATAATTTTTGCATTAACCAAGTGAAGAAAATGAAATAATCTTTTAGGATAATAAAGCAATATACCCATAATTTAATTAAATATCAATTACTTGGGTTGATTGTTAGCGTTGCAACGCTTTTCATTTTTTGGTCACAATGAGTATTCTGGAAAAACGGGACGAAGGAATTATCAGAAAATGTGCACATGAGTTATTGATCCAAACCAACATGAAATGATAATTCATTCTCGGGAAAGTATTTTCAGTCCGTCATGGCAAAAAAAATCACTTGAGTCCCTTTAACAATCTTGTCACATAGAAATATTTCTTTACCTTCCTTCATTCGTTCTTGTTCCTATCCTCCTATCTTCCTCTTAATCATGTGTTCAGCTATTACAAGTTATTTAATATTGTTGAAATACTTTTAAATATCAGAAAATTGAATTATCTTACATTCTATACAATAATCCACCAGTTACAAAATATAGTTCAATATCATTTTGATATTCCAGTTGTGAAAGCACAATGCCCCGTTAAACCCTATTACTAATTATATTCTACACAATGGTTCACGTGATGGAATCACATCTAAAAGTGTTTATATTAATTATGTATATTCATCGAACTATTTCATTTATTTCCAGATTTTTATTGACAATGTCATAATTAAAGCCAATAATTTGACGACCAGAAAAATGCCAATTAAACCAGTCATGGATAAGGGAAGCTTTTCCCTATTGACATAAGGTACGAGTATGATATTGTTTTTAAAGCCTAGGTCACAAATAAGAAAATGCCGCCGGGCGGCGTCTGTTTCTCAAAAAAAATCGCAATATCGGCCGGCGGTCCGGCGGCAGTGACTATCGGACGGCAGCAGCTGAAAATTTTGCTCATCGGGCGGGCGCCTTCAAGTTTTAAGTACTACTTAAAAGTTAACGGCGGCCGGACGATAATTTTTGGGGGCACTGAGTATAAAATATCATCGAGCGGACATCGCTCGGTCGCCGGGCGGCCACCGGGCGATGTTTTTTTGATCGGGCGATTTTTTTTTACTAAAACACCGTCCGATTTAAAAGGCGTTCGGGCGGACATCGGCCGGGCCCCGCCCGGTGCCTGAATAGAGACAAGTAGTCAAACGATTATCGCCCGGTACCCGGACGATTCATGTACAGGCATCGGGCGGTCATCGTTTTGTCATCCGGCGACCGGGCGGCTTGTGTTTGTTGTAATTTCAGCTTGAATATGTTGTAATTGCCTCAAAAATATATTTGTTAATTTCTTTTGAATACTAGTAAACATGAACATTCTTGTGGAACCGTCCGATTCACTTTTAAATCTCACAGGCGCCGTACGGACATCGGTCGGCGATCGCCCGATCCGTTCAATTCTTTCTGTAAAATCCATTCGGCAAAAAATCGCCCGAGGACTGTTTCATTCATGACCACGCAAGGTATCAGATTTAAAATCGCCCGGCGTCCACGATATCAAAAAATCTTCTGATTTTATAAAAATCGTTTAATCGGACGGCGCCCGTTTTATTTGTGACCTAGGCATAAGTAAATCAATTTGTTTAAATTTCAGGCATGTATAAATTTCAGGCATGTATAAATTTCAGGCAAAATAAGTTCAAAGAGAGATTTTTCGATAGATTAATAGCAGGAATGAAGTGAAAAATGAGAGCAACAAATGGCAAGTAGATTATTTACTGAACACTCTAGAACTTCTGAGTCTGCGATATTCATGTATTTTTGTTGTGATTAATGTTTCCGAGGGATCACACTTTTTCCCGATTTGCTTTTTTACTCACACAGGATAAAGCACAGTGTGACTTTGTGTCATTTGAAACGCCGTTTTTTTTTGTTTTGTCATCATCAATAAAACGACAAAACTAATTAATTCCTCAATGTATGTTTACGAGACACATCGTTATTATCGAACCACTTTTGGTTGTCTGTTCATCTATGTATGCGGACATTTGTTTACTGATAATATTTGCTATTGTTGAAATATCAGCACTAACCAGTACTTTAACGACATACTTGTTAATAAATCGATACAAATATATTTATTTAACATTAAAAGTTTGAAATAATTATTTTTAATTATTTTGTGTTTGTAATACTGATGTGATACAGTTAAACTACTTATACGTACTACATTATTTCTAATGAATTTCCGACCGTATCTGCTTAGTAGTGTTTGTTTATTTAATGAACTTATCATTTAATTAAGGTAAAAGAAACAAAAGACATTACAATTTCCCAAACCATTCTAATAATATTTTTTAAAGAGATTATTGGCAACAATATTTTGTAGGACACTTATTTCACTTTACTTTACATCAATATTTAATCAATATAGACATGATGCCTTGAATAAAACGACAAAAAAGTACCATATCATTTTAGATTATAGTGTACAAAACGTTTAAAAAATATATGCGAGTTGTGTAATTGTAGTCAATAAATCAAAATCGGCAAAATGTTTCGTATTGATTTTGTAATTATTTCAATTAACCTTAAGCTAACTGAACAACTAAATTGCTCGATTAAAATTAACAACATGAATTATCTTCTCTAACGATACGTGTTTTGCCTTGTACCCTGTCCTGTTTTTGTTTGGTGTCCTGTTGGGCTCCTTGCCGATTGTCCTGTATTGCTGTGTCGTGTGGGGTTGCGTTAATTAAAATTTAATACACTGTTATAAAAGGTGCATGATACCATGCCCTGTAAAGTCAACTTTGACAGTTTCTTACGACAGTAAATGCGAGAATTTTTATATGGATAATGGTACAAAATTCCCATAAGACTTTTGCTATTTCTTTTAAGATTTTGTAAATGAAAACAAAACAATTAAATGCGTTAATGCCTAGCCATATTTGCTGCTTTTTTGTATTGTTTATTTATATAGCATAATGTAAAAGATCAATTATACTTTAGACTGTCGTTTGAAACGAACTTTAAATTCAGCTTAAGCCAGAGCTTGTGGGCATGGACGATACTATCGTCATTTTACAGGCTCTGTCAAACAGAACTTAGAACATTTTCAATTTGCCGTTTCAGGTTTCCTTTAGTTTCATTTTTGACCATTTAATCTTTCGGATTGATCTTGAATGTTAAGATGCAATCCTTTGAAGCTTGTATATTGCCAAGAATCAAATAATGTCTGGATCTCACAACTAAGAGATCATTTGAAATAAAACGTATGTTTGTAATAAAATTGATCTCTGGCTGGACGTCCTTGTTTGGCATTCTAAGTATTCTTAAGCTTTAACAATATACTTGTACACCATGCTAGTAGGATCATAGCAGCCCATTTACGAGTTGAGAGAAAAATGGAATGCCTGAAGGATATAAGTATTGACACTTTAATTGTAAAAAAAAGTGATATTCACTCACTGCTTGGTCGTATATTTCTTTGGTTGTCTGAATTAAGAATTCGTTAGAAGGAGAATTAGATGGTCTTATGTAAAGGTAATATTAAAATTTTCAGCTTAATAAGGGGAAGAATATAAAAAACATACCTCACTAAGCCTATAAAATCTTTTAAAGCAGAAACTTAAAAAAAAGTATGTAGATAAATATAACACAGGAGGATGACAGACTTAGCTAGATTTTATAAAATTTAATATCGTCTTTAGCAACTCTTAATTTAATGCGTTTTGTATCTTATCATATGATTCGCACAAGAACTTGCAACAAATAATGGTAATGTTAGTTTGAATTTTGTTTAACCATATTTTTCTTTGAAAAATCGCGTATGTAGTGAGTGTTTGGTAAACATATTATTTATCAAGACGTTTGACAAATGATTCAAATAAATGTTGTTTGTTTTTTTTTAAATTTATTTTAAGAAAGATATTGCATTGGTTTTTTTTTGTACACATAACAGTTCAGTATAAGTGTTGTTGCAACATCAGCAACGGTTATTTCTTTAATGAATATGCTCGATTGCTTTTCATCATGCCATAACTATTTTACTTTACATTGATATATTATTCAAATACTTCGTTTTTATCGAAATATCTTGTTCGCGAAAGACAATAAAATCGTGTTGTTATTTAAGAATTTTACTTTATCCATATGGTATTTTTTGGCTTACAATGCATTCTCTACTTTTCTTTAAAGGGCTTGTTCTTTTTTTTATTTTGCGACATCATGCCTTCTCCAATGTGTAGTTCGTTGCTTTCTGTGTGGCTCCTGTCATTATGGCTGGGTTGAGTCGGGGGCTGCGTTCTGTGAACGTCACGTTGCTTTGTTGATCTTTGTTCTCATTTTTTTGTTATGTTTGATATATATTTTGACGATTTTTCACAAAATGGGAAACACAAAAAGTACAGGGTTGTTAGTTATGTATAACGATTCCTCCGAGCCAAGGAAACAAGTTAAGATCTTATAATGTTTGTTCTTGTTCACCTGATTGTAGTATACTTTCAGGAATTGTTTATTTAGACAGAATAACCACAGGTATCAAGTCTGTTACACTATTTTGTCTCCTAATGACGTAAAAAGCAAACAATTTTTAAGCCCATTTGGAATAGTTTGGTGGAATTCGAAAGTATATTCAATTTGGCAAATACTATGTAATTATATTACTGAAGGGTCTTTTTTATTGAGTTTTCTCTGGGAATTT